AAAAGAAATTTAAACTATTGTATATAACTCAATATAAGAAAGGAAATGAATGAATGGCATATTCTTTATTGCACTTAAAATTACAGTTAAAATACAATATAGTAAGTTAATGTGCAACAGGCGGCCCTATTACTATGTAATAATTTCTTTCAGGCAACATTAGGGTAGAAATTTTAGATATGTAAAAGGGTTGTAACGAAAGAATATCATTGTAAGTACAAAATAATTATTAATAATTAACTGCCTCCGTGTCCGAACGGTTACTATCGGTTACTACCGGACCGGACTGCCACGCAGAGGTCCCAGGTACGATTCCCGGGAGAAGTATTTGTATGGCCTACATTTATTTATCTCGTGAGTATGTATCGTGTGTGTCCAACATACGATACATATTGGCGCCCGCGACACAGGATTTCCCTAGTGCCCCACGTTTAGTGTGTGCGTTATTTATTTATTTATTTTATTAATATATAAACAATAATACATAGGGCGCACTATAAGTTTCCGGAACTGGCCAATTACATAAACAATATTTAAAAAGTAATTACACACTGCTGTGAACAACAAAAACATCGATGCTGTGCGCCGTATGACCAAAACAGACAGGCATGTGACATACCACGAGATTCGGGTTTCTTTAGGCATAGGCATGAGTAAAATACAATCAATACTACACAAACACTTGGTTGTGAAAAAGCTGTGCTCTTGGTGGATCCCTCACAATTTGACTGAGGCTCAAAAAAAACGCATCACGTCACTTGGTGCAATGCCATGCTTACCAGATTCAACGAGGGGGTGTTAAATTTGGTGTGGGACATAGTACAAGGAGACGAAACATGGATTTATAGTTACGATCCCAAAACAAAGCAGCAATCGTAAAAGCGTATGGGTCTTTTGAGAAGAGCCGAAACCAACCAAAGTGGCGCGCGTTCAAAGTGCCTTTAAGCGGATGATTGCTTCTTTTTTTAATAAAACTGGACACGTGGCTATTGTTGCTTTGGAGAATCGTTGTACCGTGAATAGTGATTGGTACACGACCATTGGTTTGCCGGAAGTTATTGACAAACTCCGTAAAAATAATCGTAAACGCCGTATCATCTTGCACCACGATAATGCCAGTTCTCTCACGGTCAGACAGACAAATGATTTTTTGAAGGTGAACAACGTTGATCTTATGAGCCATCCCGCGTACAGTCCCGATCTGGCACCTTGTGGCTTTTATTTCCAAAAATTAAGAACCAGTTACGCGGTCAACGGTTTTCATTACCTGAAGAGTATGAAAAATACGTTTCAGAGCTTTTCTTATTCATTCCGGAAACTTATAGTGCGCCGCATGTATTAAATGCTAGACTATGAAATTTTTTTCCTTCCTCTAAGATGAAATGCGACGAAACTTGGGAGTTATTTCATTTATATACAAGCACCCAACATTGATATGGGTATAAAATGTGTATTCAGATGAAAATAAATCGTCTCCCATAGTTACGTGGTGATCATTATGTTGCTTGGAAATTCCGGGACGAAATTCCGGAAGTTGGAAATTTTCTTAACATGACAGATTAGGTCAAATGTTTTTTTTTAATTTTCACCCATTTGTTTGGGTAGGCAAAGGTTTTATAGCCTCGTCATAAAAATTCTACCTAGGATTTATGTGGTCTGTGAATTCTATTCTTCCTTTACTTAATGGCAAAGGTGACAAACGCCTGTTCTGCAGTTTCATTTTTTCAGTTTATTTCATATGTCATGAAAGGTCTTAGACTATTTTTTTCCATCCTTTAAGTGAAAGGTGTTAGACGATGGAAAAAAGTTTAAGAAAAAGGTTTTTGACGATGGAAAAAAATAAAAGAACGGAATAAATGTACCTCTAAACCTTAGACTTTTTCCATCCTCTACGTGCATCATAGATTTAAGGACTATCCACACATATCAGGGCCGTGCCCGGAACGTGGACGGGGCGTGCTAGTTTGTATGAACTGCGGGCCCGTCCCGGCGTCGGCCCGGACATGGACATGTGTAAACGAGTTCATACAAAATATACACAACGATATTTTTTTGAGCCCCTGACGGAGCACGGCCCGTCCACGTCCGGCCACGGCCCGGGCACGGCCGGATATGTGTGAATAGACCTTAGTATATAGGTACGTGCATCATATATACATATAACGCTTAGAGGATGGAAAAAAATAAAAGAAGTTTCCATAGTCTAAGATATAACGTCTGATTTATACCGGGTGGTAATTTGTAATGCTACCTGGAGGGAAAGTACTCTAAATACTGGAGATAGAAATTTTTACTTAAAGGAAACATTCCTTTATTTTTTAAAAGACATAAAACTGCATTCATAGATTTTCGAAAATTTCAACAAAAAATTTTCAACACGCGGGAATCGAACCCGCTTTAATCTGAAAAAATGCACCCTGCATTTTTATTGCATCGATCGATAGGGTTAATTATAAGAATAAAATGATTGGTTAATTAAATGAAAAAAAAAAACCATGAAATCTTAACGTATTTTAATAAAACGAAAAAAATGGTAATCAACTAATTAGTTGCTCGAAATGAGCTCCATTTTCTTGGATACACAAATTTAATCTTTTGCGTAGGAATTCATTTTGAGTAACTTTTAATAACGTGTTGTGATGAATTGTATTGCAAATCGTATTCTGAACCTCAGCCTTCAACTCGTTTACACTCGCATAGGATTTAAGGTAAATTTGATTTTTAACATTTTGTAAGTCAATGATATCCCCACAAAAAAAATCTACTAAAATGGTTACTAATGTAGGCAGTAGTGACTCTGCTGTTATGGGCTGGAGCGCCATCTTGCTGCAGAATTATTCGATGTCGCTCTTCCTCGGATAAAACATTTAAGTCATTAATAAGAGATCCTAGTATTTCAAGATACTCGACAGTGTTTAAATGACCTTCGTACACGTGGACTAACACAACCATATTTCTCATAATGCCGCACCACGTTGAAAGAGAATCTTACTTGATTGTTAGTTTCATGAACACGAACAGGATTCACTCGAGACCAATAATGGTTATTGCGGCGGTTGTACATGCCGTTATTACTGAAGTTGGTTTCGTCAGACCATACAGTGTTACTCAAAAAATTCGGGTTACGGCCAACTTCTCTTAGCATGTTTTGACAAAATTGAAGTCGTCTCTCACAATACTCAGGATGCAATTTTTGCACCAACCGGCCGTCACAATAACATTTATTCATACACTTTTTAAGCACTTGGAGTACGCGAGTGTGGTTCCAATATCTTCTGCAGCGTCTCTGCTTGAAGCCTTTGGAAATGCTTCGAAGTATGTTAAAAAACATTAAGATCGAATTCGGAATAGTTCTGTTGAGGAGTTTGCCGTCGCTTTTCGTAGCTACCCGTATTTTTTAAGTTAAGCTTCCATTAACTCAAATTGTTCTTGATATGCCATTTTTATGATGAGACAAACTAAGGAGACAAATATGAAATTTATTTATTTATAGGAAAACTATTAGTACTTAGAAAGGATATGTGAAAACAATCAAATGGAAATAACAAAAGACAATCCATTTTCAAATGAAACATTCCATATTTAAATTACCTCGTGCCACTGACCAAAGAGTCCGCATTACAAACATGTGCAAATTGCAATCTTCTTATCTAAAAAGTACTTCGTCATTTTAATGGATAAATGACGTCAACGATAATTAACAAGTAATCTGATGGACCTTTGAGTAAAAGTGCTTTAATTTGACCCATTGAATTTATAACTCCAGATTTCATGGTTTGCAAGAGAGATTTCAACCTCATAATTTACCCCTATCGATCATTGACTTACAATTATATGGACGTCGGGTCCGCGCTAAAAAGTGTCCGCACTTGTAAGGCGCTAAAATCGTATACAGAGCGCCAAACTCCGCTTTAGTCTTCATTTGTTCGACTGACAGCGCGATACTGCGATGATATTACAATTTAAATTTCGAATAGGTTGACTTGGGACATTTTTTTCGTGGTTTTTGTATTAGACCCGTCGTCCATTTATTTGTAAGTCAATGCTATCGATTGATTTAATAAAAGTACAGGGTGCATTTTTTAAATATTTTAGCGGGTTCGATTCCCGCGTGTGGCTAGCAATTTTCGAAAATGTTTGAATGCAGTATTATTTCTTTTTAAAAATAAAGGAATGTTTCCTCTAAGTAAAAATTTATATCTCCAGTATTTAACGTACTTTCCTTCCAAGTGGCATTACAAATTTCCACCCTGTATCTGTCAATATAACATATTGTCCTTTGGTTTCCATAGTCTAAGTGAAAGGTAGACAAATAAACATGACAGCATGTCAGTGTCAAAATCAAGGGATATTCTTAGACTTTTCCATCTTCTAAGTGAATATCATTACTCCAATGCTTAGACTATGGAATATTTTTTTTCCGTCCTCTAAGCTCCAGTGTACATAGAATTATTGTACTGTTGTTGTTTTTTTTTCATTCAGGAAAAGGCAAGGGTTTGGAACCATACCGCCAAGTCATGGTCGTTTTTTTTTATGAATAGGCATATTATATCAAATCTTCAGTCCATATTTATTTTATAGGCCTTAAAGCCTTGTCTTTGGTGAGTCATCATATTAGAGTGGGGTCAAGTCGGGGGTATAAAGTTCCAATTCCAGGTAAAATTTCATTTCCGAGAATAAATCAATTACTGTACCGTTTTCTGTCCCAGAATTTCTTTTTCCCCGTTTTGCCGTGGCAAGTGCTAACTTAAAAAAAAACTCAATTAATCAAAAATTAAACTAAAATCAAAACAAGCCAATATATAGTATACAATTTTAAATAAGGAGAAGAAAAAGAAGAAGACAATGTAAAATTACTTTTAAAATATACCATTTACTTTTTATTCAACTAAAAAGAAGATGTGTTATACTCAATTATAGGGTAAACGATGAGTATGAACCAAAATACCAAATGACATTTGTTTCCACAATGACTTTATAATGTAATGTTTAAGATCATTATGTTTTCAAATAGAGTTATTTAGGTGGTCCACTATTAATAAGGAGGTATCCTGTGATAATTGATAGAACCCACAAAAGTACAAATCTGAAGGTAAAAAAAATATTGAATAAAATTGCTAATTCGGAAAGATTAGATGTTTTCCACGACATATGTTTCCCACCGTTTGTAGAGCAATAGTTGTCATGACCGACATTGCTTATATAGAACGGTGGTTGCTTATATAGAACGGTGGTAGACTAGTGGGGAAATGGTTGCTTATCATTTGAAAAGTCAATGGTTTGCACCTTAGGGCCGTATGTCTATAACGTTCGTACATTTATAATTGTTTAGCAGCAATACTTCTCGCTAAGGGTGAAGATTAACATTGTGATAAAGAAGACATTGGGCCAATATGGCGGACTATGGCTTAAGCATTCTTTTTAAAGTATACCTGTGCAAAGCAGTGGGATATATAACGGGTTGATGATGGTAATGATTATTTATTGTTAAGTGTGGGCAAAAAATCGGATGAGGCAGCCTAATAACCAAATTTGATACAAAATTTTGTTTACTCATATGGCAAAAGGTTCAAAATCATTTGAAATTGTTTCCGCATGATCAGGCTCTAGTGTCTCTTTATAAGATACTAAGGGTGTATTTACACCAAGTCGTCAAGCCACTGTCGCTTGCTCGCCGAAGGCGGCAAGCTATCCAGTGCCAATAGTGGGTCGTTGACAACGGTAGTTCATTCAAAGGCTGCAAACGACTCAAACGGCTCCATGTAAATGGCGACTCGACTGCGTCGCTTTCGGCAGGCGAAGTGTTCTGCCGAAGGTTGGCAGACGACCCGGTGGTGTAAGTACGCCATAAATACCCATCTTTTGTATTTATAAGGAAACAACCTGTATGTTTCTTTCTATATGGATTAAATTGATATGGTTTGGTTACAGGACCTGTGCTAGTTACTAACGCTGTTTTTCTGGATGTTTTTCTGGATCTGTACATAGAAGGAGAACGTCGAAGCAATGTTCTTCTGTCTTGTGAAACTATGTTTAGGGATCTCCGAACATACTACTAATTCCCCATAACCTTTACTATCCAGTAACACATGGTGGCAATCCAAATTATGCAAAATATGTTCACTTTTCTTTGTTGTTGAAGTACCACTAAACATATTAAACGTAAGTATATCTAAAGTCAATTAAAACTTTTCTAGCCAATTAACTTTGATAATAGGTTTCGTAAAAAAGAAGTTGTCCATTAAAGTTTATTCTCTTTTATCTAGACCATGACCATGGACGAAGGTAATACAATCAAAAGCAAAGAGGTTTGTCCAAAAATATGTAGAGCAAAACCCATATATAAAAATAAACTTTTTCTGTTCATCGTGGTACCATTTATATTGTTCAACGTAAGTAATTCGACATTGTCTATTTAACATTTAATAAGTAAGACGAATGTACTTGGCACAGGTAATTCAAATGGTTGTGTATGGGAACTTACGCAAAAGCATTTCATTTCAAAATACATGTATCTTAACCTATTAATACACTTAGCTGTTTCTGCAGCAGTAATGTCAGCATTACTGTGTTCCGGTTTTGAAGGGTACGGGTGCTGGTGAAATTACAGGCACTTGGGACTTGTCAATTTATGTCTCAGGGTGATGGGCGCAGGGGCAGTGCCCCTCAGATCTTTGTGATTTAAAGCTCTGGGTGGCACTGCAACTGTTATGGATAGGCGTGTAGCTTACTATGCGCGACTTGTTCGTCCTGTCACTTGATATTACATGTAAAAAAAATTGCTTTTCGTAGTATACAGTTTTAATTTTCTTTTTCTTAGTCTAGATTATTTATTTACAGGTTAATACTAAAGCATTTAATAAGTTGCGTCAACCTTGGAATCAGATTCGAGATCTCCCTACAGTGGTAAGAGATAAATTTGCACTTTATTAAAGATTTCCATTGAAAAGTTTAATTAATCTTAACAATGTGTCAAAGAAGATTGAATTTAGATATAATGTGAAAATTTGAAGCTTAATTTAATCTTAACAATGTGTCAAAGGAGATTGAATTTAGATATAATGTGAAAATTTGGTCTCGTTTCTGAAAGAAATTGTACACACAGTTAGCCAACGATTTAGCAGGTGTTACGCGGTTTTAAGATATTTCGTAAATATTTCGGACTACACGCCGTAACTTGTTTTTATCTGCCGATTATTTAGTGCAATAGCACTCTTTTCGGACGATGGTTTGAAAATAATGTAGAATATTGTTTGCTGTTTACACCTGGATCGTATTTGAAGTTTGATGCCATGTGTACACTGCGGCGAATGGTGAATTATTACAAGAGACAAAAAGATCTCAATAGTTCTGTCAAATTGATCACTCAGTGAACTTGTGAGAAAAACCGTTCACATTCTGAAGCGATCGTGGCCTAAAGAATTTACTTCAGTGCCTTTACTAAGGCTTTCAGTCTCGCTGCCTTTCTGCGTCTCGGAAAAAAGTATCGAGTCTCGAAAATCTCGGGAAAACGAGAGACTGTTTGAAAAGTAGATTTCCATTCTTATAGGCTAGACCATAATTTCCTAAAATGGTCCCTACTGCCTTCCAGTGGGCGTTGAAGAGTCCTAGTGGGATGGGAGCCTCGGAAGATATTGGGTGGCGTTGATGCTATCCAGAGGGCGGTAGCAACCGCATTTGAAAAAAAACCTATATTATCTTATAATTTTTTCCTTGTGATTTTTTATGTTTTTAGCAGCAGTAGAGCTCCTTGTGAAAGAGTTCGTCCAGGGAAGTACAGCCACCTTACCTATTTCTGCCGACAAGCAGTAATGTTAGTAATACTGCGTTCCGGTTTAAGGGTAAGGGTGCTGGTGAAATTACAGGCACATGGGACTTGTCAACTTATGTCTCAGGGTGGCGGGCGCAGTGGCAGTGCCCCTCAGATCTTTGCGACTTCTTCTATCATTGTGATTTAAAGCTCTGAGTGGCACTGCAACTGTTATGGACAGGCGTGTAACTTACCATCAGGCGCACGACTTGTGCGGTCTGTCACTTGATATTATAAAAAAAAATGTTAAGTTAATATAAAAAATGCGTGTTTTTAATTATTTTTATGGGGAAAGGCGTTGAAATTTTTTATCTTGCCTAAGTGGGCGGGAAGCCAAAAGATTTGGGAACCTATAGGCTAAACGTTTAGGCATTTAAAACGTAGATATTTTAATTAATTTCTTTATTAACTCAAATTACAAAATGAAAAAATATTTATGAAAGTTGTTTATCATTTTCGTAAAGGGCATGAAAGAAATAAAGGACTTGATTTTGTTACTATCGTTCTTCAATCTCCACTATACTAAACTCCACTCTACGGTGTTGTCGTGTCTGTGTAACCAGACTGCTGCGTGTGTAGATTTTATAATACTGTTTAATCGAGTGAGATCTAAGTCTCAAAAGCTTCGATGTTTTCGAAACTAAAAAAATGAATGAATGAATGATATTTATTTGCTAAAAAAGACTGAAGTCTCGAAAATCGTCGGACTCTCGAAATTTACGATACAGATTCCCCGGACCCTAGTAGCCTCTATCATGAGTTTACCATTGAAGAATTTTGCAGCGGTCACATGAATAAAAATTTTTCTGCACAAAAATTCACACCTTTAGAATGAAAGTGACCCTTATACAAAATTCCAACTTTGTGGGAATGCGCAAAATAAGATGTGAATTTTTGAAATTTTTTACTAAATTTATTAAGCTCGGAGTAGTAAAGGTAAGGCCTTGTTTGACAGACAATTGATTCTGATTAGTTTAGTATTTAACAATCAAAAAAATCTAAAATAAGGCCACTTTTTTCTGAACGTTTTGTTGTCATTTGACCTAATAAGAATTAAGTCTCTTTCATATTCACCAGTTAAGCAAAATCCTTATCAAGATTAAGTCGTTTTAATTGTGAAAGAAAGCTCTATTTAATAAAGTAAGTCGCGTTTGTAAAAACTTAATAATGATTTTCGGAACGAAAATGGTTCAACTGCTAGTCCGTCACTTTTTTTTTGAACTGTGGTGGCGTGAGGACTCTGTCACTCGAGGTTACGCGATAAGTGCCTGCCGCTGAGTGTACAAGCGCTCAGACAAGCCGACAGTGCAAGCGCTCTGACAAGTCTTTCATTTACATTACAATCCTTGTACAACCCCAGCATTCGGTTCCGCACGGCTACACGTGGCGGGCAACGTTACACCTCTCTGAGTGCGTGCGTCCTTTTTCCTCGTAGTAAGCGCCTGGTTTCATATGTTAGATTTAGTTAACTTATATAGTTTAACTATTATAGCGTAGGTAAATACGATTTTCAAATTCAACACTCAATGAGACTTTATGCCGCCTGGTACGTACCGCGCGGGAGTGAAATTTCGTATATATTATGACTCGTATAGTGAGTATATGAGCTATTCCAGTTTCAACCTCAAGAATTATGATAATTAGTCGGTTTACGGCATAAACTCAATTTCTTCATTGTTAAAATTAGGTCAATTTCTTTAAAAAGGTGCGGTTAGACATGTCTCTTAACGACAACCTACACAGGTTTTGATTTAAAGTGTTGATTTGTCACAATATTCCTTCTTTGTTTTCAGTCGTCGCATCTGACGCATCTACGTGGGGGAAAAAAACTTTATCAGAAGTCCAGCCGTGATTACGAGTACATGCGTAGACGAACAAAGAGATTCCCTTGGGGCGAAGGTCAAAAGTCGTTATTCCACAATGATAAAGTAAACGTGCTGCCCACAGAATTTATTAAAACTAGACAAATTTACGATGATTATGATGATTATTAATAAAATATTAAAGACATACTATTATTAATGATATTAGCAACTATGCTGACATCCGTATCAAATGTTCATGAAGGCAGTGTGCATACCTCGCCAAGCAGTAATGTGAGCATTACTGCGTTCCGTCGTCTGTGAAATACAAAGTTGGTAAGAGCGGTCGCCCCGACATTAGACGATAATTCGAGTTCTAATTTTCCTTTGTGTTGTTCTTTGTATCAAAAATAATATATAAGGTGCAGTTAATATCACGAATGAATGTGAATATTTACATACAATTAAATGAAGTGCGTAAAAAACTTGTACAAAGGAGAAATAAGGAGAACAAACTTCACCGAGCCCGCGCCTTGAGGCATCGTGACCTGAGATGATTAGGAAGGCTTCCCCTTTGGGTAACTAAACTCACTCCATAAAAGCATTGCTGTTATAGTGTGGCAAGGAGAGAGTTGAGCGCGCACAGGGAGCGCGGCATAGGTGATTTAGGGCGCGCTACGATTCGGCACCACGAGGTGGCCATCAACTGGCGTTTTCTAATGCGGTGGTAGTTGACGGGGACTAAGAGTCGACACAGTCGTCTGGGGAATCTATATTACCGCGGAGAATTTTGCACATTACCACAAGTTGGTGTTTCATTCACCTAACCTCCAGCGAATTATATCGTAGGCAACCCAGTAGAAACGCAGTAGGATACATGTAGGGATAGCACCCATTAGCACGTTTGTATAAGTATCTAAGAAACGCTTTCTGTACTTTCTCTAACATAATATTATATGTGCTTTCATGTGGGCCCCACTTACACATGGAGCTCTCCAATTTACTGCGCACTAATGCATTGAAAAGAAGTTTGATCACGGAGACACTTTCAAAATCTCTCATCATCAATCATTCTAAGGATGACCCAAACGGCGAAAAGACTCTTGGCATAAGCTTCGATGTGGTCAGGAAACGTTAACTTCCGATCGAAAATTACACCCAAAGCTTTTATGGTGGTCAATTGAGTTACGCTATCTCCACCTATATTTTAGGCATAAGTTATCGGATGCCTTACCCGAGCGAAAGTCATGACATCACACTTATCAGTGTTAAATTCCATAGCGTTGTCTTAACTCCATTGGTGTACCGCATCGACGTCGCGCTGGAGAGCTATGCAGTCCTCCATCGATTTGATCTCCAGGACGAGCTTCAGGTCATCAGCATAGAGCAAACATCATGTTTTGGCTGAGAACACTAGAGAGATCTTTCACCATGAGCAAAAACAGGAGAGAGCCAAGTATAAAACCTTGACTTACGCCGGAACGTATGATATGGACTAGATTCATTCAAACCCAGGCTGATATATTGTTGACGATAGCGAAGATAATCTGCAAGTAGCCAAAGTAGGTGCGGAGAAAAGCCTATTTTCCCAAGTTTTTCTAGTAAAATGTCGTTATTGACCCTATCAAACGCTTTCCGAAAGTCAAAATACAGAACGTTCACTTGTGATCCACGATCTAAAACCTTTGAGATAAAGTCTACCACGGTTAATAAGTTGGTCTCAAGTAATCTTTTGGGTCTAAAACCATGCTGCTCGTTGCAAAGAAACCTATTCACCTGGGCATAGATTTGATGGTGGTTTACTTTCTCCAACACCTTTGCCAGAGCTGACAGAACTGCGATAGGGCAATAATTCTCCACTTTGGACTTATCCGAGGTCTTGGGTATTGGACTAACCCTCGACAATTTCCACTGTGGTGGATATTTTACCGGCCATCAATGCTAAATTAAATATATGGCGGAGGGGAATGCATACATGTAGGCACAAATTTATCCGTTTGTGCCAGTCAACCAGAAAGAAGAAGTCTGGCTTTCTCAAATGACATTAGAAACGAAAGAAATAGCGGGAATATAAAAAATATACGATTTTTTAAATAACTTTTAACTCATTTATTTGGGTCGGCAAAGGTTCTATATAGCCTCTTCATATTCTTGTTTAGATGAAAAACGTGACAAGCGCCTGTTCTTGTATAACTTATACTTGTGGTGCAGTTAAGGCCATCAGCGACCAACTGCAAAATGCCCTTCACAAAAAAAAACCTAA